GAAACTTACTGCTTATCTATTTTATATACATTAGTTAATATTTGCAAATCCCAAACTCCTAATTCATCCATTCCCAACCCCCTTCCCTGTAACCATAAGATTATTTACTATGTCTGTGAGTCTGTTTGTTTTATATATAAGTTCATTTGTGTCTTTTTTTAAGATTCCACATATGCACGATCTCATATGGTATTTTTCTTTCTCTTTCTGGTTTACTTCACTTAGAGTGACGATCTCCAAGTCCATCCATGTTGCTGCATGCTTTTTTATGGCTGAGTAGTATTCCATTGTGTATATATATACACCACAGCTTCTTATCCCAGTCATCTGTTGATGGACATTTAGGTTGTTTCCATGTTCAAAGAACTATTTTTTATATCAAGGGTTTTGTATAATAGGCCTTTGATACAGTACTTTTATTCTATTTCTACCTCTCAGGAACTGGTTAAGTCAGATTTTTAAAAAATTAATGTCTCTTCATCCTGCCCTCCCCCCCCCCACCTCATCTCAGCAAAAAACTGAAAGGTCCTTTGCTGAAACTATAGTACCTGAAACAGAAAGGGTCTGCCATGGTTTAATTTTCTCTTTATGGAGGTCACTACATGTATCACAACCAAGCCTACAGCCTGGGGATGATGTACCATTAGTGCTGGAGAAGAGACCAAGGCCAGAAGGATGAGCCATGGGATGGGCTAGATACGCTACACGTTAGCTACTCAGGCTAAAATAATCCTACGGATTGACTTTGTCCCTTTTTTACACTTTTTGAAGCATCTACTATGCCAGGCCATAAGGCAACATGGTTTCTACCTTTGGGAGCTCAGTTTAGTGGCAAGGAGCAGACAGATAAACAGATAAATTATCAATATTCATACTATATAAAAGTATGTCCAACATGGCATTAGGAATACAAAGAATGTGACAATTAAATCTGCTTGTAGAAATCAGAGAAATCTTTACAAAGGAGATGACATTTTTTTAAGGATCAGAGATGCTTTTGTGGAAAGATCTTTGAAGCATAAATCAGATGAATTTTGTCCT